TTTTTTTTTTTTTTTCATTCCCAAATTGGCAGGGAAGAACTTTATTGAAGCCAATTTCTATATTATCTCGAACCCAGATGATTTCTTTATTCTTAATTTGCTTCTTTGAAAAGGATGCAAAAATGTTTTTGTTGATTACCGTATGTCTACATTTACACAGGAACCATTGTCGGTACTCGATCAGGTAGATGAAGCTGTGAATTACATAAAGAGTCTGCAGAAAAGGCTGAAAGAATGCGAGGCGAAGAAGGAGAAATTACTGGGAAGAAAAAGATCTCACGGTTGCATTGGTAAAGGTTCGGATTCAATTTCGAGCTCAAGATCTCCTCAAATTAAGGTTCATGAAATAGGTTCTGGTCTTCAAATCTTCTTGACAATTGGGTTGGAGGATCAATTCATTTTCTACGAGATCATTCGTATTCTCCATGAGGAAGGAGCAGATGTCAAAAATACCACCTACTCGGTTGTCGGTGATAGAGTTTTCCTCATGGTTCTTGCAGAGGTATGCACTAACATGAATATCATATATAACCATTATTGTGAGACAGGAGTAACACAAATCCTTGACACATAATCAAATGATATCAAGTAGATTGTAAATTAAATTGAAAAATAGTTGAGACACAATTTTTTTTTATAAAATTTACATGGTATTTAATGATGATTAAACATCATTTTTAGTTCTTAAATTTTAAATTTTAAACATTTATAGTTCATGAATTATTTTTTTATTTTTTTGTCCTTAAATTATAAAAAATATATTTTTTATTTATTCCATCAACTAGTTTTTTAAATTTGTTTATTTATACACATTTTAGTTCCTAAACTTATAAGTTTCAAGACAAAAAAATGTGCACATATTATAAATTTATAAATTAAAAATATACATATATAAACAAATTTAATATGCTAAGTGAAGAAAAATAAAAAATAAATAAAAATTTCATAGTTTGTAGTAAAAAAGTGTAAAAAAAACTCATGTACTAAAAATGTTTAAAATTGAAAGTTTAGAGACTAAAAATAACATTTAACTTTTAATTATTGACACTTTCCTCATGGTAGAACATATGATATTATATACATTTATTTATTTATTAATATACAAAAATTATATTAAAAAAATTGTAAAAAAAATGGTCATATATCATTACCCTTCAATTTCTTGGATCTTCAATTAATGGGCATTAATTTAAATGGATGACATGTTGAATTGTCGTCAACTTCTGTATTGTTGTGTTACTTTAATTTATATAAAAGATATCTTTCCTAACTAGTATTTTAATTTGAAGTTTCAAGTTTATAATTATTAATAAATAACTCGGAGGACTCAAAATCCCAAATTTTAAGTTATTTGACCATTTCTTTTGATGATACCTTACAGGCTAAATTTCGCTGTTTTGTAGATTGGGGAACCTATGTTGTGCGTGGGAGGTGGACGGATTACAGCGAAGCTGAACAATTTTGTGTACGGATCACATAATGAAGAAGAGGTATTGCAAGAGTCGTGGGATTTAATCCAAATCCATCCTGAAATTTGGGATTTCCAAATAATTTGATCCTCGTTCAAATTAATATTGGCTTCAAAGAATAGTACAGATCTAAATTGTACCAAAATGGGAAAAGTAAAGATTAAAACGATGTACTTATGCTTTTTGATGAATACTTATTGCATATGTGCCAACCAAGGTAATCTTTTGAAAATCCTTTATCGGTATTTTGTAATTTAAATTGTATATTTATATTATAAATTATTAAATTATTAAATAATATCATATGCCATATTATTTAAATAAATGATTATAATTAAACTATGTTTTATTTTTATATTAATCTCTTGGTATTCTTTAATTACATTGGATTCGATTAATCTAAAATTGAATCATGTCAAACCGAATAAAGGAATAAACACTTTTAGTGTCTGTTTCTCCATTCACATAATTCAAACTCGAGACTTTAATTAAGAAAATCGAGTTCTTTTTATTCGAACTAATAAGTCATTGATATAATTAAACTTTGTTAACTGGGTTATTATTATGATCTAAAGCATCATAAGCCATAAAAAATAAAGGTCACGTGAAATTTTAAATTTGTAAATTTTTTAACAACCTCTTAATTATATAATGTTATTTTAGTTAGTGGAGATAGTGATTACAGAGTAGGAGTGAGTTAGCCAAAAAGATAAGATGGCACGTGGCAAACTCAAGAAATTTCAGTTAGTTAGGCTTAATTTAATAAATCATCTACTTTTATATCTTTTTTAATTTCACTATTATTTTTTAATTCTTCAAATCCTATTTATTATCTTTCATATTTATTTCAATTTCATCTAATTCATTATCTTTAACAGAAATATTTTTATCTATAGGGGAACAATTGGTCCTCCAACTATATTTATTTTGATTTTTTAGTCCTTAAATTTATATTTGTTTTAAAAACAATTTTTATTCTTATCTTGTTAAATTTTTTAATTCTTCTAGAGCTGATGCTTTACAAACTTTATAGACATATCTGTCCCATAATAACTCATCAGTTCTATAGGCATCATTTCTTCTCTTGCTATAATTTTTGTTATAATATCAATTTATTGATTATAAAACCTTATTAACTTTCTTAGTTCCATTCTTAATAACATTGTTCTTTGGCTCTAATACTAGATTTCTAACAGGTTTTCGGAACCTGACTTAGACTACTCTTTACTTTCTAACAGATAATACATGTGTATTTCTTAGGATTCTTTTTATTTTTTCTTGATGTTTTTGTTTTCTTAAAATACCTCTTTTTCTTTCCAAAAAAATTTATTCTTATTAAACCTTTGTTTATTACTTCTCTTAATTTTAAATCTTTTATTTCTCTTCTTGTAGTTTGAATAACTACATTCTAACTTGATTGGATCACTATTTTTAGGACAACATAAACCCTTTTTCATACTTTTTCTTAATTTGTTATAGCTATAGGTTTCTAAACACCACTCATTTATTTTTATTTTAGCAAACCAAATTCTTAGACCTAATATATATGTTTTATCTTCTACATATGTTCTATAGGCTTTTGCTAGCTTTATTCCCCAAAGATTGGGGATTTTTCCAAAAAAATAATTCTCTTAAACATTTAGCCATTCCATGGTTTGAGACTTTATAATAATACTTTTGGAATAAACAATTATATTGATCTAATTCACAAAGATTACATAATTCTAGGTTTTGCAAATTCCATATTGCTATTCTACCAACTCTAGCTTCTTCCTTCTCTGATTTTCTTCCCAATTTTCTCTTGAAAATTTTTTATTATCGCTAATTCAAACTTAGTTATTATATCTTGAATTGATTCATTTTCATTTACTTCTTCTAAAGCAGGATGTCCACCTACAGTTGAATTACTTTCTTCTTCATTTAGACCTACAAACTAGTCATGAACTATTCCTCTAAAGGTGACTTCAATAAATCTAATTGCTTGTAAAGCATTCCAGTTTTTATTGGCTATGGCTATCCAAGTGGCTTGAGCCTAGTCACTAATAACTTTTTCTAGATCAATAACATAGTCTAGATCTAGCCAAATGCCATTGGTACTAATAATTTGTTCTTTGACTTTAATTGGAGTTCAAGTCTAGATTGGTTTTCAAATTTCTTTCTATCATATAATATTTCATGTCTCTAATTTCTATTTCTTCTGTAACTTTGACTAATGCCAGATTCTACTCCTTGTTGTACTGAGAATTCTGTTGGAGTTATATTAGGAGATTTTTCATCCTTTTCTTCTTCACTTTCTTCTTCAATTTCCTCCTTTCCTTCTCTCTAAGTATTCATCTTCATGTTCTCTAGTTGCTTAGTAGTTATAGTAATTTGTTTGCACAATTTATCTAGTTCTTCTACATTTTCTTCTTCTAAGAATCTTTGTTCCAATTCTTTCAATTTTTCTTTTTGAGTTTTTAATGTGAAAAGTGTTGTTCCCTTTGATTTAAGTTTTTCCATGAAAATCTTTGGGATTATTTTAAATCCTTCATTTCTATCTAAAATATTTCGTTTACTGCAGACTGATATTATAGTATCTTGTAGGTTCTTAAGTTGAGTTTGGATCTTGTAGAAATTTTTATCTATATCACTTTCTAGTTGTGGGATTATTCTATTATACATCTTAAGTTTTTATAGCAATTTTTTCGATGATTGCTTTTAATATCTTGCAAATTCCTTGTGTTTTGATTTTTATCTCTCTAACTCGAGATATCAAAGTCTTTGAGTCTTTGATAATTTGATAGACCTTATTTCTTCTATTATTTCTTTCAAATTTTTAAAATTTTTGACATCATTTATTCTTTCTTTAATAAAATCAAACTCTTAGGAAAGGGATTTTCCCATGGCAAAATATCCAAATCCACCCCCAAAATATAGTGGCAGGGACAGATCCACCCCCAAACAAAAAATGGAACAAATCCACCCATAAAGTTTTCGACTTGGACAAATCACCCCAAATTTAATGTGTGAGACCATCTGACGTCAATAATTCGTTAATTTGTTATGTTGTTAATAATGGATTACTAAAGTTAGATGATGTCAAATTAGCATATTGCTGACGTCAAATGATGTTACACATTAAATTTGAGATAATTTATCCAAGTCGAAAACTTTATGGGTGGATTCGTCCATACCACTATACTTTAGGGGTGGATTTGGGTATTCTGCTTTTTCCCATTTCTTTAATTCTTCTTAAAGTTTTTTTCAATAATAGTTTCTATTTTTAGAATCTTATTAATGATAATTGTATCTTCTATATCGATTATATTTCTACCCAATGTATTGAGTAAATATATGTTAATCTGGTTTATTTGTTTATTATTCATGCTGATAGAAATGTATTAATAGCATTTTGAAGTGTATTAATTTTTTCTCTTTTTGTTCTTATTTAGTAGTTAAGAGTTCTAACTCTTATTGTATTTTCAGGACTTGCTAAGGTTCTCTCTTCAAATTGAGCTAGTTACTTAATTTCATTGCAAATTCTAATTAATATATCTCTATAAAGTATTCCTTGATTCATTATATTTTATTGGGATTATAGTGTCACTTTTTCAAAACTTAAAGGAATGCTCTATTTTAACTATAAGTTAATTCTTTTGTCAAAACTAATGAACATTTTGTACAGTGAACTATTCTAAAATATTCTCCAAATTTTATAGATTATTTAAAAAGAAAACAAACTTTCTAGACTACAATGAAATTAAGTTGATAGTCCATAGACTAATTATTGAATTAAGTTGATTTTGTTGGTTCTAGTTTCTTGATTAGTCAAACCAGCTACTTTAATTAGTTAAAAATTAATTTCTTCATCTAGTGCATTGCAATTTTTAAATTCAATTGAGATATTGTACCTTCTTCAATTTATACGTTTATTTGGTATTTTATAATAAGTGTCATTTTTTCAATTATCTACTTATATGACTTTCAACCTTTTCATTCATACTCATGTTGATTTCAATTTTAGTGTTTAAATATCATGATTAATTAATTTTACTCTAAGTTCAAGTTTATTCAATTTTCTAATTCTATAACAACTTTGTTTGATCTTAGAGTAGTATGTTGTTTAAAATATAATAGTTAATGCTTCTAGTTTAAGTTTCTTACATGAATGTTTTTTATCATTACTCCTTCAACAAGCTCATTTAGTTTACACTTTACTTGCATTTCTTTTTCTTTTCTTTTCTTTTTTTCTTTTTTTCTTTTTTTTTTGAATCTTTAAACTTTTAGTTGATGTTAATGTTTAAAGATTTTAGAGTTGTTCAAAATAGACTAATAACCTATTCTACAAAAAAGGCATTTCTCCTTCTTGCTCCTTCTTGCAACTTGTTTAAAGACGCACTCAATTTCACATCCAATATTCTTCAGGCCATTCTTATGGAGATCCAGTGGCGAAACCACTGAGGGCCCTAACCCTTCCCCATAAAAACAATGAGAAAAGGAAGGCCGAAGAGAGAAGGCCCTACCTTGCGCAATTGACATAAATAACTAATTAAGGTACTTTCTTCAATTTAATAATTAAAAACACAAACTTTAGTTACTCTTAATTAAGAATATTAATTATTGCTTTTTCATATTCATTAATAGATTTCAATATTCGATTATCTACAAATTATTTATTTAAGAAAACTTTATTAATCTTTTTGGTATATTAGAGAGTTAACTGTTTGGCATTACACAAATTTAAACTTTTAAACTGAACTCCAAATTAAGATTTTTAAGACAATAAATATTGACTTGACCAAGCATTTATTAGTAAAAAACTTCCTTAATTACTCTATGCTTAGTGTAACTAATAATTTTAGAATATTAAAAAGTATTAAATTTCTAAAATACACTTTCTTTCTTTCTTTCCCTTGCGTCCATCTTTGTTTTTCTAATCATAGCCATTAATAGCAGGTTTTGAAGAATTTGCTAACAAATGCAAAGAAATTCAAATGGTGCACAAATAGCAACAACTAAGAAATCAAATTCTATTAACACAACTAATTTTAATAAGAAGGACATAATTTTAGACTTAAAAAAATGTTTTATATAATTTTTGAGAAATAATGTTTTTTATGAAAAATTTTAAGCATAAATTAAACAATAATATATACTTAAAACAATTATAACTTAAAATTGAATTCATTGCAACCTCTTTAGAATCTTTCAAAATATTTTATTATCTATCATCCACCTATTAGAGAATTCATGAGTTTGTTCAATATATATAATGCCAAAGAATTGAGCAATTTTTTAGAGAATCACTAACAAT